TTCTTTCACCTAACCTCACATATCAGTCTTAATTAATAGTGAAGCCACTGAGAAACAATTGGATTGGAACTAAATGTGAGGGCTATTTCTGGGATAAATGGCCCAGATTGAAGGAACTACAGATACTGGAAGAAAAATACTAAGTTCTTCACCCATACCTAGTTCTCTGACCTATATGGGAAAAAGGAGTCCATCCTTCCTCCAGTGGAAAATATAAAATATGAAAACTGTATATACTCTGTCTGTCTGTCTGTCCGTCCGTCCGTCCGTCCGTCCATCTGGGTTTCATTCTCCATATTTTCCTACCCCAAATATTGGTAAACCATATCTTCTCCAATACTTGCTTAAATGTAATATTCTTTAAATTTCTGTCTCTGTGACACTAAAAAATATTGTGGAAAGGGTCTTGGATAAAAAAAATGTAAGTCGTTCTTAAAACAAAAGAGAAAGAGCTAACAACTTTACAAACACATTAACTTAATCTGTTTCTTTATATGAAAAATGTAATAAGAATAATGAATTCAATGAATTGGTATATCAGTTTTTGTTGCTTCTATGTTACCAAGTTCACAAAATCTTTTTCTCACTTAATAAATTTTGTCAAGAGGTAAAATCTGTAGAGTTTTCAAAATGGAAATGGAAAGATGTGAACAAAGCCAGAAAACAGACTTATCATAAATCAGAAGGTTTATGGAAGACAAAGAATCAAGATCATATGTGAAACTGCAGTATCCATTAAAATTCTTAGGACAAAATTCAGTACACTTGTATATAACGAGAATAAAATTCTGTTTGGAATAAAGGTGATAGAAGTTGACAGGTGCAACTTTTATACAGAGAAAAGAAAAATGCATGCTAGCTCTTGCTTTTGAACCTTATAATGGCCTGCAAAGACACTATCTTAGTCGGGAAGTATTCTGTCTCTCCACTGCTGAAGTACAAAAGACTTAAAAAAAATCAATGAAACATTCTGGTAAAGCTTGACACATGAGAGTGTAGGCAATGAGAACAGGTGGGATTAATCTGACTGTTATAGAAGTGGGAATGAAGGTCACACACCTACTCAAACCTCATTGACAAAAAGGTACATAATCTAATGCAATGTTCATGAATCATTTATGATGGACTGGCTCAAAGGAAGGACCGGAATGCTTGGTTATCTCAAGCAGAGTTCTCACAAATATCATAGGCTGGAAGCTGAGGAATGATAGGTTTTCCTGAAAAACTATGTATGAGAGAAGCAGTGTTTATGGCCGAGTCACTGAGCATGATGGAGCTGTGCTTACAGAGGAGGTGAACAATAAAGTGTGCTTCACCAGGGACTTCAGGACTGGTGTGCAGCTTTAGTGTCTTTGCAGAGCTCCATGGTAGACTGCACTCTTGTGGAACCAACTATCATTTAAGGAAAGGGTGAAGTATTGTGTAACAATTTTCCCTTTTTGATATAATTAGTTTCTGTTAATTTTGAGATTATAATTGCATTTTCCTCTTCCCTTTCATCCTTGCAAACCCTCCCTACACTCTCCCTTGCTCTGTTTCTCATTAATGACCTCTCTTTTCATTCATTGTGGTTACAAGCATATAAATATATGCATGCAGCTGTACAGTCCTAAATGTAAACTAATCATTCTTTATAGCTAGCATGGATGCTTTCCAGACTCACTGTTTGATATGGAATTTACAACAGGTGTGTTCTTCCCTAAGTAGGAGTATTTCCTTAAGTCTCACAAAATTCTATGAAAAGAGGAAGGAAGTTCATAAGACTCAGCATTTAAACCATGGCTGGGAAGGCTGGAGCTAAAAGATTAATAAGGATCTTCTGCTCTCAAACTTACATAGGTGGTAAGTAAGGAGAACTGAAGAAATGAGAACCTCTGTCTCAGTCAGTTGGAAAAAAGTCATGCAGACATGTTCATGGTTCTAGTTTGGCTGAGGCTCCCATTCTGATGGGAGCCTTTGTGATACTACAGACTTCAGTTATTCCTACTCCTGTAAGCAATCCTGTACCTATATTCCTGTATTAATCTCAATAAACTCATTAATTTGAAGGAATATGAATGACACAGTTTCCCTGGGAGTCAGATAAAGAAAGCAGGGAAATGGGGAACTGATAAATAATACAATGGCCATCTTTGAACTTTCTTTTATTTTCTGTACTGAGACAAAGGCTTAGGAGGCTTTTTCTTTCACCAGCAGGCTGTCTCCTCCAGCTGTCCAGTTTAAGACAGATATTCACAGTCAGTTCTGAACATGGTCACCTGAAGCTGAAGGTGATCACAGTTCTTGTGAGTGATCAGTGGTTTGGTCATGTTCAAAGACAGCATGTCACAGCAGTCCTCCTCACCCTCAGGCACGACAATCAGGACCCATTTCCATGACATCCCCTGTGTCTAGGGGGAATGGTTGCTCTACAGGTCCCATTTAGGAATGAGCATTCAGGGGAACTCCAACATTTTGAAATTATGAGGCTGTGCATTTGCTGCTGTGAACTCAATAAAGAAGAACCTCTCACCAAGGCTGACAGCTAAAGATATCTATCCATAGATATGGAAATATTTACAAATCCTTACTCTTGTCACACAAAGTAACAACAGTAGCATCATCTTAAAGGAATATATGATTCATCCAGCCGTGGTCTTTTGACCATGGACACAGTGCCAGGTACTAATTCCTACTTAGAGTGCAGGCCTCACCAGATCAGCAGGAAGTGAAATACACAATAACTCTCACGTCACCGTTGCACCAGTGACTTTCTCATATTCTGTATGCCCCATTTAAATTATATTTTCTTATGCTGAAATAAAAAGTTTTAATTTCATAAGATCCTATTTGTTGAGTTTTGGTCTCATGGACTATTGGACAAGAGTCCTATTCAGAATCCCCTTAGCTGTGCTTAAAAGTTGGAGGATTTTCTCAACTGTGTCCTTTGGAATTTGTAGGGTATCAGGCTTCATTTTGACATCCATGACACATTTGGTGCAGTTTGTGTATGGTAGATGATAAAGAGCAGAGTTTTATTGTCTGCATGCTGAAAACAATTTTCATAATCAGCATATCTGAGACAGTATATCAAATGCCAGCATACATATGAAATACAAACATGTGTGCAAAGTAGCCCAAGAGTCACACACGTGTATTCTGCTTACCAAGTGGACCATGTTAAGGTACCCAGGCATGTAGTAATACGAGGTCAAGCTCTGACCACTCAAGCTAAGTTATGGCAACCACTTGCATTACAATACATTTTCAACAGGACTTATAAGCTGGCTCAAGTACTCTAGATTTTGTGGTCATTTTCTTGGGTCCCAGACTCGTTTCTTACAAAGTGAAATAATATTTGTAGTGTTCCATAATTCCAGCTTTGAGTGCCCTTTTAGTGATTACATTTTTTCCAACTCTAAATTTTACAAATGCTGCCAAGGAAGTGGGAAAAAATATGCTATGCTCATTGAAAACTAAGACATCCCAGGTACTGTGGATGCTATAATGATAGATATGACTGAAAATTTACCATACACATACCAGCTGAATCACTCGTAAATATGCGTACTTATCATAGTGAGTTCACTATGCTGAATCACATATATGTGTGCATGAGTTTGTGTGAAATTGTTATCATTGCACTTCATGTAATAGATGATTCAGGGAATGAGCTTAGATAACCACCAATATATCTAAATATATGGATAAAGAAAACATAATATGCATAAATAATGCAAGATAATCAATCAATGAATAAAATAGTAGAAAAAATTACATAAGTCTCAAGTAAATTGTTGCAACTATGTATCATTAAGTCAAAGAAATAGACAACTCTCCAAAATACAAATAGCACACGTCTTCTCTCATAAATGGAATCTAGAAAAAATATAAAAGGAGGATGAAAAAATTTGCAGAACTGTGAGGACAAATGTTTTAGATGGAGTATAACAAGGACACAAGGGGGTGTATACAAACACATTATTTATTTTATATAATTAAAATGTACAGAATAATAAGATTAATTTTGTACTTACGATATGCTACTTCCAACCCTACTATATACAACAATCTCTGTTCTCTTTCAAGTTTATGTTCTTTATTCATGCATTGCTATTTTTATACATAAATTTGTATATACATATGTTCCTAAATACAAGGAGGCGAATCCATATGAAGTTACAATTCTATATGTTTTCAGGCATGTCCATTGGTTCCTGTACAATCAGTTTATGTGTTTCTCTCTGGAGAAGGTCACCCCTCCCACTCCCTGCTTTCCTAAATGACTAGAGGTCTTTGTTTGATGTTGTTGCCTTGTAATTTTTCCTTCTCCAGTTTTGCATGCCCATTGATATCTTCCAACTATAACACACTGATTTGAACCACAATTATACAAAGTTTAAAGTAATCAATGTAGTGTGTCATTCCCTGTCCTACCAGCTCATCCATGGAAGTGTTCACACTTACGATACTCTACTATTAGAGAATAGACTATCAGAAAAAAATGCAATAAAAATGGGACAAAATGTAACGGTTTTGTTGCAAAGTCAGAAATTAAAAGACTTGAATTTTAAAGCAAGCTAATATTTATTTAAGAATCACAGAAAATCACAGAAAAATAATGTTTATATAGAGTATAACCTCATTCCATAACCAACCATATTCCAAGAAATTAAATGTGCATCAAAATCTGAACTAGTGTGAGATTGGCTGTTTTTATCACACATTTTCTTAACATACAGTCAAGAAATGTTATAGTTCAATTTACTCCTACTAGAAATGTTTACCTAATTATAGTAATTATTCTTGAATAGCATGTTTACAATGATATATAAATTCCGTTTACAACAAATGTTTGATGACAATAAAGTTCAAATCTGGATACAATGTTTCTAAATTTCTAAGAACCGCATAGCTGTCTAAGTAATGACTAAGATTTGAAAATTAATTGAAGGATGTGAGTCTGTAAAATAACTTGGCTAATGCATGAAGATCTGTACAATGAATTAATGTGAGGTATACTAAGAAATTTCATGAAATGTACCCATTAAATGCATTTTGTGATGCTTTCTAAGACTTGAATTTGTGTGAAAGGACTTGTCACATTCTTTACATTTGTAAGGCTTGTCACCAGTATGGAGTCTGTGGTGAATGTGAAGAGTTTTTCTACGGGTAAAGGACTTGCCACATTCTTGACATCTGTAAGGTTTCTCACCAGTATGGAGTCTGTGATGAGTGTGAAGATGTGAGACCTGGGTAAAGGACTTGCCACATTCTTGACACCTGTAAGGTTTCTCACCAGTATGAATTCTTTGATGAGATAGAATCGTTGAGACCCACGTAAAGGACTTGCCACATTCTTGACACCTGTAAGGTTTCTCACCAGAATGAATTCTTTGATGGTTATGAAGATTTGAGGCCCTGGCAAAGGACTTGCCACATTCTTGACATCTGTATGGTTTCTCACCAGTATGAATTCTTTGATGGCTATGAAGATTTGAGGCCCTAGCAAAGGACTTGCCACATTCTTGACATCTATAAGGTTTCTCACCAGTATGAATTCTTTGATGAGATAGAAGAGTTGAGGCATGGGTAAAGGACTTGCCACATTCTTGACACCTGTAAGGTTTCTCACCAGTATGAATTCTGTGATGTCTGTGAAGAGCTGAGGCACAGGTAAAGGACTTTCCACATTCCTGACACCTGTAAGGTTTCTCACCAGTATGGATTCTGTGATGAATATGAAGATTGGAGAGCTGGGTAAAGGACTTCCCACATTCTTGACATCTATAAGGTTTCTCACCAGTATGGATTCTGTGATGTCTCTGAAAAGCTGAGGCCCAGGTAAAGGACTTACCACATTCTTGACATCTGTAAGGTTCTTCACCAGTATGAATTCTCTGGTCAGATTGAAATTTTGTGTGACGGATAAATGACTTGCCACAATCTTTACATTTGCCTGCCTTCTCTTTGGAATTAATTCTCTTATGCATAGTGGGGCATGCATATCTGTTGAAGCAGTTTCCACATTCTATATAATTGTTTTGTCTCTCTTCATTTTGATGATTTATATCATGCCTCCCTTGTTTCTGGTCATGCTGAAACAAAAAGAAGTTGTGTTACAATCAAAATCATCCTTACAAATATCATGTATGTATGGGCTCTTAGGAAAAACAGACTTCTTCTATGAACTTATATAATGAGAATAGATATACTGTGATTTGATTTTTAGGAATTTGTCCCTTTAAGAAGAGGATTCTGGAAACTCTTCTTCTAAGAGTTCCTAGAAAAGGCTTTAATAACATCATTGAATGTGTAACGTTTCTCATGACTGAAAATTCTCTGATATATTTTCATTCTCATTTGATTGAGATAAAATTCTCATGTTTATCTCACAAATAGCTTGTAACAAAATGTAAATTTGGTGAGAAAACTCTAATGAATGTTTAATAGAATACGTGTTATTCAGTTTTTAGGTTTCTAAATATTCTTTGTAGAAAAAATGCTTTAAAATTTATTTGTATTTTTTTACTGAGGAAACTGCTTATGAAATTGTAAGCGATCTAATGTGAAAGCTTTCCAGATAAGGTAGAAATTACTGACCTTTATTTCTAGTACTGCCTAGTATGGCTGATGAATAGAGATTATTTCAATCATGTCATAATCCTTTCTCTTTTTTTTCTTCACCAAATATTGAAATCATCTCTAAAAGAAAGGTTTTTAAGTCACTACTTACAGCTATTCCTGATACCAACTTCTGGATACAATCTTGTCTATTCTCTTGTGAAAATAAGTCTTCTGTTTGATGATAATATGAAACTGGATGAAAGACAAATATATAGTTATCCAAATTAGTGTAGTTAGGTGAAACCTTTTCAAAAATATAAGTGACACAATTTTATATATATGTAGACATATATGCAAGATGGCATATTATATAAAATAAACTTCAAATCATTTATTCTAATGAAACAATCTTCTTAATGTAAATTGATAGAATATTTTTATAACATATATTAAGTACATTATAAAAATGAAAAGATTGAGTTTATGTTATCTTAGAGGTTCCAATCACAGTTTTAGAATGATAAATGGGATTATGGTGGTTTGAGTGAAATGACCCCATTTAATCAGATATCTGAATACATAGTCTAATGTTGGTGGATATTTATGGGTAGGATAAAGAGGTATCAACTTACTGGATCACCTATGCCTTGAACACTGGCTTTAAGAATTTTAAAGCCTTCTAATAACAACAGTGAGCTATCTACGTCCTGTTGTGATTCTAGATGGGACCTCTCACTGCTGCTCTAGCCCCTGGCCAACTGCTACCTCTGATTCATCGTCATGGATTTTTCTTCTATATATTGCCTTTATCTTGGAATTTTATCACAGCAATACATAATAAGTAACTAATACAAAGGCTAAAACCCAAGTGCAAAAAATTACACTCATAAAATTGAATTATCTTAATGGATTTAACACACCGTACAATCCCTTGAAATGAAAAAATTGAGTAATATTAAGAAATTAGACAGATTCACGGAGACTACAATTGGTGAACCTAAAGAAGCTAAATAAGAAGGTGAACCCAAGGAAAAACATATAGTTATCCTCTTGGCTATGGGAAGTAGACAAAATTGCCGGGGAGAAAATTGAGATCGTGTGGATGGGGTGGGATGGGGGTAAGGGGAGATAGGGAGAGAAAAGTGAGAAGGGAAGGAGGGGGGATCTTGGGGAAACAGGAGGATTGGGATAAAGGAAGGTTGGACAGGGGAGCACGGAAGCACAATTCTTAGTTAAGAGATCCACCTTAGGGTTGGCAAGAGACTTGACCCTAGAGCGGCTCCCAGGAGCCCATGGTGATGTCCCCATTTAGTCCCATGGGCAGCTCAGGATAGGCAACCTGAAATGACCCTTACCTATAGCAATACTGACGAATATCTTGCATATCACCATAGAACCTTCATTTGGTGATGGATGGAGATAGAGACAGAGACCCACACAGGAGCACTGGATTGAGCTCCCAAGGTCCCAATGAGGAGCAGAAGGAGGGAGAAGATGAGCAAGGAAGTCAGGACCAGGAGTGGTGCACCCACCCACTGAGACAATGGGGCTGATCTATTGGGAGCTCACCAAGGCCAGGTGGACTGTGACTGAAAAAGCATGGGATAAAACCGGACTCTCTGAACATGGCGAACAATGAGGACTGACGAGGAGCCAAGGACAATGGCACAGGGTTTTGCCATTTCATGTTCTGGCTTTGTGGGAGCCTAGCCAGTTTGGATGTTCACCTTCCTAGAAATGGACGGAGGGGGGCGGACCTTGGACTTTCCACAGGGCAGGGAACCCTGACTGCTCTTTGGTCTGGAGAGGGAGGGGGAGAGGAGTTTGGGGGAGGGGGAGAAGGGTGGGAGGAGGGGGAGGGAAATGGGAGGCTGGGAGGAGGCGGATACTTTTTTTTCCTTTTCTCAATAAAAAAAGAAAAAAAAAGAAATTAGACGGAATATTAATTAATAAGGAAAGAACAAATGATGAACTGGAAAGAGTTACTTCCAGCTGGTCAACAGAGAATCATGTATACCCCAAGGAAGAGATCCATAAAATATCAGACATCAAGGAAATTCACTAGGACTGATCTTTTTCATCTGAGATATATTTTCTCTTTTTCTTATACAGAAAATAGGTGCTTTCATAAAATATATTCTGATGATGACTTTTCATCCCTCAAATGCCCTGAGATCATCCCTATCTTTATTTATGTCTGAATTTACCCAATTTCAGTCACTTCTTCGAAAATAAATAGGCATCTAAAGAATAACAATAAAATAATATAATAAGAATCAAAGAAGTCAGATAGGATCAGAGAAGAATGGGAAATAAAGAAAAGCACAGTATTTATAGAGAGAAAGACACACATTTGTACCCGGAAAATTGCATAAAACAAAGCAAAAGAAAACTCCAGAAGGTGTAATGTACATAAAGATTCTGTATGGTCAAAAATAAAAATAAATAAATTCCCAAACTATACATTATGGGTGGAAAAGAATGTACAAAAATTCCATTGAGTTGTGTTGGTGATATCCTTCAAGTGCTGGTTACGGGGAATTCCTGTAAGTGTTACTTTTATCCCCACTGAGAATCACTTGGAGAAAATTTATTTGTTCTTTGGGGACTCATGGTCTGTTGGAAACAGCTTAGGTAAGATTAGAATTAAATGCTCTTATTTTTCAAGATTCTTTTACAAAATGAATGTAATAGATGAGTGGACATAAGTTAGTATCTACAATTTTATTTTTTGATCAATATATCTGTTTTTTAGCCATTCCATTATTATACAAAACCTATTTATTATAAAAATGTGGTATAATTTAAAACTCTGAATGGAATATTGTTTATAGTTTTATTTTTCATGGTTGTATAAGCTATTGTGAGGTTTCTGTTTGTTTGTATATATATGAGGCTGAAAACAGTGTTTTTGGGATCTGAGAAGAGTTGTGTTAGAATTTTGATAGGGCTTTTCACTGAATCAGTATATTACTATATCTATTGACCAATCCTTGAGCAAGTGTATTTTTCTATCTTCCAATATATTCTTCAATTCATTTCTTCAATGTCTTAAAGTTTTTATAAAGGTCTTTAACTGTTTTAATTCAAATTACCCAAAACTATTTTTGAGGTTATTGTGAAAGGCCTCATTCCCCTGAATTCTATTTAAGTCTATTCTCATTTGTATATAGGAAGGATACTGCTTTTTGTTAGTCAATTTTGCATTCCTATCCTTGGTGAAAGTGTTTCTCAGTTGGACAAGTTTCTTCATAAAGTTCTTACGTAAAATCATAGCATCTGCATATAATATTATTTTGATTTGTTTCTTTGCTATTAATCACTTCTAGATCTTCTTTATGTGTGTTCTTGTTCAAGCTAAGATTTCAAGTACTGTATTGAATAGATATAGAGAGATTAAGTCCACTTACATTGTTCCCTTTTTTATGGAGAGGCTTTGAATTCTCTCCATTTAGTTTGATGTTGGCTATACACTTTCTGCAAATTGCATCTTTTAAGTAGAGGTATATTTCTTGTACCCCTACTATCTCCAAGACTTCTGTCAAGAAGGGGTGTTAATATTGTCAAAGGCTTTTCTGCATCTAATAAGATGAACTTCTGGAATTAGACTTTAAGTTTCTACAAGTTTATATTTATTGATTTTGAATTTTTCATCTATCCTTACATGTCTTGACATAAAGCCTATGGTAGATTTTCTTTTTGATATGTGCTTGGATATAGGATGCAAATATTTTATTGAGGACTTTTGTACATATGTTCATAATGAAATTGACATATATTTCACTTACATTTTGGGCGTATATGTGGTTTAGGTATCAAGGTAACTGTCCTCATGAAAAGAATTTCACAGTGTTCTGCAGTTTTTATTTTGTAGAATAATTTGAGAAGTATTCATGTTAATTCAAGAAGTATTATTAAAAGATAGAAGGTACCACCTACTATCATTATTTTGCTTAGTATTAAAATTACTCTTAATGTCCTATTGATATACCCACAGACTTGCATCCCTAAGCCTTTATTCCCAAATTCTGGCAGAATTTGACAATTAAAGGTGACTCACAGGTGGACATGGTCCAAACAACAACATAATATTTAATTTGAAGAGTATGTTTATAGCACACTTATTCCATGGAATGTTCAGAGCTCATTCAGGACACAGTGATGATACATAACAAGACATGCAGTCATGAATGACTATAAGAAAATAGTGCTTTCTGTACACAACATGACTGTTGCCCATATAAACTCAAGTGATTAGGATAGAATGGATCAGACCTGAGAAACCTCAAGCCAGTTTAAAATCCTTGGGAGACAGAAAGAAAGGACCTGGAGAAGCATGCCTTGCTGAGAAGCTACTATCATCTTAAAGATTCTTGGAGAAAAAGAATAATGTTGATTTTCAGAATGTGAAACTCGGGGTGGTAGAGATGGCTCAGAGGTTAAGAGCACTGACTGCTCTTCCAGAGGTCCTGAGTTCAATTCCCAGCAACCACATGGTGGCTCACAGCCATCTTTAAAGATATTTGGCGCCCTCTGATGGCCTGCAGGGAAACAGAATACTAAGAATACTGTATCCAGAATAAATAAATAAATAAATAAATAAATAAATAAATAAATAAATTTAAAAACAAACAGACAAACAAAAGAATGTTAAACTTGTGGTTGTTCAACCATATTGTAGGCCATGTAGGCTCAACACTCCGAATTTTATGAAAGTTTTAGATTGAACTCTGTGATTGAAAAAGAAAGAAGCGGAAAAAAAACGAAAAATGTCTGGAGGAAGTGGGACATGGGAAGAGTGGAGAGTTGAATTTGGTCAAATGACACTGCAAAGTATTTTTAAATCACTAATAAAAGTATTAAAAGTAAAATATTGTGGATATATAAATTTGTTTCCTCAAACAAATTCCAATGCAGATATAAAACACAAAGGAAAACAAGTGCTTAAACAACATTTTTTATATATTAACATGTAAATTTTGATAGTCAGAGATTAGTAGGTGACATTACATTAGACCAATAATGTGTATGACCCTAAACAAGTCTTAATTTCTAAAGAATATTTTGCAGAAATAAAAAAGGTACCTTTTAAGTTCTACAGTATCTGACATAAATAATGAACTCTACAAGGTTCCAAAATGAATACGATTTATATTTCCTGATTTTATGTGAGACTATACAACAGTGAAAACCATGGAATTCTGTCATGAGAGCAGACGAACAGACATGAACAGGTACAGAGCAATATTCCTTCAAACATTGTAAAACATTTAAATGCTAATTTTCATTTCAATATTTCATTTCAAGGACTGGTAGAGTTCAAAGATATGGCAACAAATCATTTTACTTCTACTTTATACCATAATTCAAGTTAATTATTAAAAGTGAATTTTTAGGTTATTTTACTTATAAAGTATTTGGAATAATCATTCAATGTGAATTTTTACATAATTTTAGGTAGAAATATTTGTGCATCTGTTACAGGGAGAGAGAGCCTTTTGTTCCCCCTTCCTGGCTAGCTTATACCCGAAATAATCACACAAAAACTGTATTAATTAAAACACTGCTTGGCCATTAGCTCCAGCCTCCTATTGGCTAACTCTCACATTTAGATTTAACCCATTTTTATTAATCTGTGTTCACCATGAGGTTGTGGTTTACCAGGAAAGATTTAGCATGTCTGACCTGGTGTCTCCATGGCGACTCTCTCACGCTGACTCTGCTTTTCTCCTCCCAGAATTCAGTTCTGTCTGTTCTGCCAACCTAAGTTCTGCCCTATCAGGCCAAGCAGTTTCTTTATTGATTAACCAATGAAAACAACACATAAACAAAAGGATTTCCTACCCTATGCATCCCACTTCAGGGCAGAATTTCTCCATGCCCTAGGTTTCCTACGTGTGCCAATGCTTCATTCTGCCTTACCTTGTTCACTGCCTTCTGTCTCTCCAAAGTTCACGTTCCAGGGCTCTTTGCTTTGTTCAAGAAACCTGATCAGGTCTGGTTTTGACAGTGAAAGACCTGCATATAGAAGAGACCTATCACCATAACTTGGGATAACAATAAAACATATGGATTTCTCATAAACCATCATACTGATTATATAATATGGCCTATAATTTAAAATTCCAAATATGATTTTTTTATTGCTATCTCCAAATATTTTCACACACTCAAAAGCATTTTTGTTACTATTGTATACCTTGAGTTTCCTTGTAAATTACTACTGGATCAAATGAAAACACATTATGAATCATTAAGATGCAAATTAATATATAATCTATGATGTGTCTGAAAAGTAAAATGTATTATGAAAGTTTGAATGATGAATGTTATCTCCAGGAGTCAGGAATATATTGACAAGATAAAGTTACATAAAACATTGTGTCCTACATAATGAACTCCAAGATTTTTATTAAATTGGCAAATGAATATGAGGCAGACAATTCAGACATAGATGTAAAACATACTTGTAGGAAACAATTATGATAAAGAAGGAATCATGAAAGAAAAAAGTCTCACCCACAGAGACCATGTTACTGTAGTTCTCCAACATGACTTCCCTGTACAAAGCCCTTTGTGCAAAGTCGAGGCAGTCCCACTCATCTGGAGAGAACTCAATTGCCACATCTTGGAATGTCAAGATTCCCTGTCATGAAAGGAAAGAGTTTATCAAGTGTCCATGTAAAAATTTCTTTACTTAGACTAAGGATACAAGAGTTCATCACAAACTTGATGTGTTCTTTCTTACCATTATTCTAAAAGACATACTCCAAAATACTGTGTATACTAAAAATCTGTGTGCTGGAAATATTAAACATAGTAAGACAATTTAAGCTGCAGATTTACAAGCTAACTTGGGGTATGTGAATGGGAGGCAGATTATCTTCATGTGAAGTTCCAGAGTTCACCCTTGCCCTTAATTATCTATCCTCATAGCAAATTTTTCTTTAGAAACCACAGGTTGAAGAATCATGAGCTGTAAATTTGCAATCATGAGGGCCTACACTGCTGTCAAATAAAAATATGTCAAACATAAGATGTGTAGCAAAGGCAGAATTTCAATATTCACGAAAGAAGCAGAAATCCTTAATGAATATGATTCTAATGACATCAGTGGGAAGATCATGGAAGGACTGACTCCTTTTTGTGGCGAGCTAGAAAGAGACTGACTTCTAAGGCCCGAATAAGTGCTGGGGACACTTTGCGCAGATACCTAAAGGAAAAGTGAAGGATGTAAATTGTGTAGCTGATACATGGCTTGGATCAGCTGACATCCAAAACTGATTTTCCTCTACAGAGTCCCATCACTGCTTCAAGAACACCAGATGAGTATGAACTAAAGTACAATAAGTTACTCAGCAAATTTTCCAAAGAATTAATAAAAATACCAGCATATTGTGACTAAACAATTCTGTGAAATGCAATCCCATAAATTTGGTATTCTAGATTAGATGTAATATTACAAACAGCACCTTACCTTTCATCAATTTTTTTTCTACATGAATCATCATGGAAAAGATAGGATAAAAAGGACAAACCACCAAGAACATGCCCTAATGGACAGTATAATTATATTATTCATCATATATTTCCCTGTTGTCTTTTTCCTATTTTAATTCTTTAACATATTCAATATCACTTAATTACACCTTAAATATATTTTATGATTTTTACTGTTTCATTGTTTAATTGTGCTTTATGATTTTTTCTATATGTTTCTGTAGTATACTATTTTTTTATATTTTTCTAGTCACATCCTGGGCAGATGTGCTGCTTATTTGAAGACACCACAAATGCAAGCCCAGACTACTAAAACCAGCAAAGTTTTAAATCACAGTGGACAAACAAGATAATCCATAAGAAATCAGATTTAAACAATACCTATCCACAAATCCAGCACTACACAAAATACAACAAGGAAAACTCTGACCAAACAAAGCTACCCGCACACATACAAATACATGCAACAGATAACCTCACACCAATAAAACCCAAAAAGGGAAACACATACTTTCATCAAAAATAACAAGAATTAACAAACACTGGCCATTAATATCTCTTAATATCAATGAACTCAATTCACCTATGGAAAGTCACAGGCTTTAAGAGAATGATTATGAAACCATGATCCAGCCTACTTCTTTATACAAGAAACATGCTTCCACCTCAAAGACATATATTAACTCAGAGTAAATGGTTGGGAAAAGATTTTCCAACCAAATGAACCTAAAGAACAAGTGGGAGTAGCTCTTTTAATATCTAACAAAATAGACTTCAAACTAAAATCAATCAAAAGAGATGAAGAAAAACAGCTTATACTTATAACAGGACCAATCCATCAAGGTGAAGTCTCTATCCTGAACCTCTATGCCCCAAATACAAGAACACCCACATATGTAAAAGAAACTTTACTAAAGATTAAATTGTAAATCAAACCCTACACATTAATAGTTGGGGACTTAAACACCCCATTCTCCCCAATGGATAGGTAAAGCATACCAAATCGTTAAGAGAAATAAGAAGACTAACAGATTAATGAATCAAATGTAATTTACAGACACCTATAGATCATTCCACCCAAATACAAAAGAATATACCTTCTTCACAACACCTCACAGAACCTTCTCTAAAATTGATCACATACTTGGTAGCAAAGCAAATCTCAACAGATACAAAAAAATGGAGTAACCCCCGGGATCTTATTGGACCACTGTGGTTTAACATTAGAATTCAACAGTAACACTAATTTCTGAAAACCCACTAACACGTGGAAAATAAACAGTGCTCTACTGAAGCACCCCTGGGTCTTGGGAAGCTATAAACGAAGAAACCAAAGACTTCCTAGAATTCAACAAAAATGAAAGCATAGTGTACCAAAACCTATGGGACACTATGAAAGCAGTGCTAAAAGGACAGTTCATAGCATTAAGTGCCCACAGAAAGAATGTGAAGAAATCTCACACTAGTGACCTAATAGCACACCTGAAAGCTCTAGAACAAAAAGAAGCAGACTCATGCAGAAGGAGAAGAAGACAGGAAATAATCAAAATGAAGGCTGAAATCAACAAAATAGAAACAACGAAAACAATACAAAAATCAACAATGCAGACAAACAATTATCCAAACTAATCAAAAGGCAGAGATAGAATATCCAGATTAAGAACATAAGAAGTGAAAAGGGGCATATAACAACAGAGAGTGAGGAAATCCAGAGAATCATTAAGTCATACTACAAAAGCTTGAACTCCACAAAATTGGAAAATGTAAAAGAAATGGACAAATTTTTAGATAGATACCATCTGCCAAATTTAAAACAAGACCAGGTTGACAATTTAAATAGATGTACAAACTGTAAGGAAATAGAAGCTGTTATCACAAGCCTCTTAACCAAAAAAATCCCAGAGTTGAATGGTTTCTGTGCAGAATTGTACAAGAATTTCCAAGAATAGCTAATAATTATACTAATCAAAGTGTTCAACATAATAGAAATAGAATGAACATCATCAAATTCTTTTTCTGAGGCTTCAGTTACCCTGATACCAAAACCACACAAAGACACAACCAAGAAAGAGAATTACAGACCAATCTCACCTATGAACATTGATCCAAAATTACTCAATAAATTACTGTGTACACCTTTAATTCCAGCACTCGGGAGGCAGAGTCAGAGGCAGATGGATCTCTCTGAGTTCCAGGCCAGCCTGGTCTACAAGAGCTAGTTCCAGGACAGGCTCCAAAGCTACAAAGAGACCCTGTATCAAAAAAACAAAAAAGACTCCCCCTCAAAAAAAAAACCTGGCAAACTGAACCCAAGAACACATAAAAAAATCATCCACCATGATCAAGTCAGTTTCATCGCAGGATGCAGGGATTGTTCAACATATAGAATTCTATCAATGCAACCTACCACAAAATAACCTGAAAGATTATCATATGATATTCTCATCTGATGTTGAAAAAGCATTTGAAACAACTTTATGATAAAGGTCTTGGAGAGAACTGGGATACAAGGAACATATCTAACCATAATAAAAGCCATACACTAAGACAACAGCCAACATCAAATTAAATGGAGGGAAAGTCAAAGGGATTATACCAAAATTAGCAACAAGACGAGGCTGTCCACTCTTTCCATATCTATTCAACATAGTTCTTAATGTTCTAGCTAGAGTGATAGACAACAAAAGGAGATAAAGTGGATATAAATTGGATAGGAAGAAGTCAAACTTTGTTACTTGCATATTATATGAGAGCATACATACATGACCCCCAAAACTTTACTAGGGAACTTCTACAGATGAATAATAATAACAACAACAACAACAATAATAATAATAATATTAAAGGATTCAAGATCAACTAAAAATAATTAGTAGCCTTCCTATATACAAATGATAAAGAAGCTGAGAAATAAATCAGAGAAACATCACCCTTCACAAAGGCCACAAATAACATAAAATATCTTGTGGGTAACACTAACCAAACAAGTGAAAGTCCTGTTTGGCACGAACTTTAAATATTTGAAGAAAGAAATTGAAGAAGATACCAGAAAATGGAAAGATTTCCCATGCTCCTGTATAGGTAGGCTCAACATAATACAAATGGCAATACTACCAAAAGCAATCAATTGATTCAATGCAATCCCCATCAAAATCTCAAAAGAAATCTCCACAGACCTGGAAAGATTAATAATCAACTTCATATGAAAAAAACAAAAAACCCTGGATAGCCATAACAATCCTGTACAATAAAGAACTTCTAGAGGCATCAACATCTCTGACATCCAGCTCTAATACAGAGCTACAATAATGAAATGGTCTTGTATTGGTATAAATCAAACTGATTGAATAATGGAATAAAATTGAAGATATGTATATTAATTCACACACCTAAAGACACCTAATTTTTAACAAAGAAGTTAAAATTATACAATGGGAAAAAAAAGCATCTTCAACAAACCGTGCTGGCATAACTGGATGTCAACATGTAGAAGAATGAAAATAGATCTGTATCTATCCTCAAGCACAAAACTCAAGTCCCAATGGTTTATAAACCTCATTATAAATCATACCACACTGAACCTGATAGAAGAAAAAGTGGGAAGCAACTTTTAATGTAAGGGCACAGGAGACCACTTCCTAAAAATAATAACATCAGCAGCACATACACTGAGGACAACAATAAATAAATCGGACCTCCTAAAACGGAGAAGGTTCTGTAAATCAAAAATCACAGTCAATAAGACAAAACGGATGCCTATGAAATGGGAAAATATCTTCACGAACCCCACATCAGACAGAGGACTAATTTCCAAAATATATACAGAACTCCAAGCAATTAGACATCAAAATACTAAATAATCCAATTAAAAAATCGGGTACAGATCTAAACAAGAATTTAAATAGAAGAATCTCATATGGCCAAAAGACACTTAGAGGAATGTTCAACATACTTAGCTATCAGGGAAATGCAAATCAAAACAACTCTGAGATACTATCTTATACCTGTCAGTATGTCTAAGATCAAAAACACCAATGACAGCCTATGCTGGAGAGCATGCAAAGTAAGAGGAACAGTCAGTCCTCAGTTGCTTGAGGGAATGCAAACTTTTACAACCACACTGGAAATCAGTATGGAAATTTCACAGAAAATTGGGATTCAACCTACCTTAGAACCCAGCAATACCACTCTTGGGCATATTTCCAAAGGATGATCAATCATACTACATGGACATTTGTTCAACTATGTTCATATGTTCATAGAAGCATTATTTGTAATAGCCAGAAACTGGAAAAAACTTAGGTGTCCCTCAACCAAAGACCGGATAATGAAAATGTGGTACATTTACACATTGGAATACTACTCAGGAGCAAAAGAAATTGGCATCTTGGAATTTGCATGCAAATAGAAAAAGTTAGAAAAACAGTCCTGATTGAGGTAACCCAAACCCAGAAAGATGAGCATGGTATGCATTCACTCATAAGTAGATTCTAGGTATAACCAAATCCTATAGTCTATGATCCCAGAAAAGCCAACTAACAAAGAGAATCCTAAGAGAAACTTATATAGATCCCTCTGGGAAGGGAAAATAAACTAGATCTCCTGAGAAAATTGGGAGCATTTGGGTGGGAGGAGAAGGAAGGTTAGAAGGGGAGGAGGAGGAAAGAAGGGAATGCTGGAAGGGAACTAGAGGTAACTGGATAGTTGAAATTGGGAAAAGACAGAGACAGAGAACAAAGAAAGAGATATCTTAATTGTGGGAGCCTTTATGGGGCTAGCAAAAAAAATACCACTAAAGAAATTCCCTGGCCTTGCCCTGTAGTCTGATTAATGATGATCTCAAATGTCACCAAAGAACCTTTGTCCAGCCACTGATGGAAGCAGAGCCCAGTGCTCTGATGTTGATCTTTGCCTCTTTTTCCATCAGATGCTGGACAAAGTTTCCAGTTGAAGAGTGAGAAGAGTGAGAACAGGAGCAAAGAGATCAAGAGCACAATGGGCATACCTGCTGAAACAGCTTGGCTGAGCTGAAAAAAGCTCAACAACTCTGACCAGATAGGAAAGGAACCAGCAGAGGACTGAGTTAGGCCTTCTGAATGTGGGTGACATTTGTATGGTTGGGGCCGACTGGGTCACTGGCAGTTGGCCAGGATTTATCCTTACTGCTTGTCATGACTTTTTGGAACCCATTCTCTTAGGATGTAGTATGAAGGACTCAGTCCTATCTCAAAGCAATAGGGCTTACCCTCTGTGAGGAGTTATGCGGTGGAGTACTGGTGGTAACATGGAAAGAATAGGAAGACGGGAGGGAGGGACTACTGGGATTAGTACATGAAATGAAAAAAAGATAGTTTTTTAATAAAAATTTAAACAAGAGGAGGAAGCTAGTGTGTAAGAGCCAAAGATGATGGAGAATACCAATACCCCCACACCCTTCCCAACCACATAGCCCTCTTCCTCAACTGGATTGAAGGATCTATGAACTAGTAGAAATTGAGGCAGCATACACAGGGCATGCAGTTATGCACCTGATTTGGTACAAAAATGAAATAAGAAGCGTACTCATGCACAGATCCCAAACACAGAAGCTATCTCTGATTCATAACCATAACCAGCAAATGAAAATTTAGTTTTTTCAAGGAATTGTCGCTAAGATAAGAATTTACTCTCAAAAGTATGCTGCAAGCCAAGCCTCAGAAAATTCAACAGTGAGCTAGGGTATGGTGTCACACACCTTTAATCACAGCACTCAGTAGGCAGAGGCAGGTGGATCTCTGTGAATTTGAGCCCAGCCTGGTCTATAAGAGCTTTTTCCAAGACAGGCTCCAAAGCTACAGGGAAACCCTGTCTTGAAAAAAAAACACCCCCCCCCCAAAAAAAAATTTAACAGCATCTTGGAGGTTCTTTGTCTCATTTTGTCAGGTCAGAACTTTACATGCTTTCTTCTCATTATATCTTATTTACACATTTTTAATCATCTTTTCACATGCACACACACAAATACACATACAAAAACACCCATGCACACATATAAAATATTAAAGATTCTAGCTGAGTGTTTTGGAGTATTCTGTTTCTTTGGGCTTTTCTTGGGCTATTTGTCTCCTAATTGTTTTTTTTTCTATTATTCTGTGGTAGTTTTTGTTTTATCTTACTATACCATAGTATATTTTTTGTTATTATTCTACCTTACGAGCCAGTTTCTTTTTTATGATGAGAGAAAGAAAGGGGTTGTATCTGGATGGGAAAATGATGGAGAAAAGTTGGGCATAGTAGAGGTAAGACAAACAAAAATAGGAAATTATGTAAGGAAAATAGTTTTCAATAGAAGGATAAGTAAAAAAAACATATAAATAGACCCCTAGTTTTAGGAAATCTTCATATGTAAACAACCAGGTTCATTGGGGGAAGTGTGTGGAGATCCACTGCAAGGGAGTTTCTGATGCAAGGGATCAAATGTAAATACTAGGGAAAAGTTCATTTTCTGCAAAAAATGTGATAGTTTTATGTTCATCACTTGGCAATGCTTCAAAATAATTATTGCTGATAACATGAATCCAACACATCCTGACTACAGGATCAAACACTGTATATGAAACCAGGAACAAAACAACCAAACTAATGATCTCTGAAGTGGTAGACATTGTCACAGAGAACCAAATACAGGTGAATGAAGTCAACATCAATACATTAAGATACACTGATGACAGCTGTTCACAAACAGAGTCACATCATTATTGCTGGAATAGAGATTGCCCAAAGAATAACACATGGAAACTGTGGTGTGAATACAAAAGCATGATTTTTATGCCACGCATAAGCTATGCATGTCTGCCACATTCCAGATTCTCAAGTGAATTCCATATATGTAGTTTTGTTTTCCATAAGCCTATGCCCATCCAAATTCTACTTTCTCATAACTGAAAAAGTTATGCTAGGCTACACATTTCATGTAAACGAACATGCATTTTCATAAACCAGTAAACCAAAGAGCCCTGGGCAGAAGTCATGCCATATATTTGCATTATCTGTCTTTAGATGAGGATGTGAGTTGGTCTCTGGAGGAATTGGGCATAAAGAACTACAATATTCCTCAGTCACAATGGAATCACCAATGATAAGCATGATCAGTTCATTGAGGATTTATGTCCTGAAAAAAAAAATGAGCAGGCAAGAACAAAAAAAAACAGTGGGAATTTGACACCGTGTAAATAGTATATATTTAAAGACTCCATCATAACTGTCATAATTTAGCACAGACACACAAATATCAAAAGAAATAAACTTCTTAGTCAAGACTATGAGAAGCAGAGAAAATCTGCAACATAAATATATCAACCTTGTAGAAGAAATTGAGCATAGCTGCTGTGCAGAGACATACTTACTCTAGAACCATCCATCTCTTCTGACCTTCTGTTCCTGGATTCTCTCTTGAGCATTTGCTATCTAAAAAAGTATCACTAAATACCATTCACCTGCTACACGCACACTCACCATCTGCAGAGCCTCAGAAATCAGGGAGTATTTACTCCTGGCTTGGTTAAACAGATACTCATGAAAACAAGAGAGATTAAAATGCTGAGTTTCTCCCTTGCTGAGTTCAAGTGGTCTGCTCAGCAGTCAAGTTATCCAGTGAGATCACAGGCTGCACTGGCCTGTTGCACTCAACCAAGGCAAAGCAGCAGTGGGGAAAGGAAAGCTGAACTCCAATGGAGATCAAAACCTTATGAAGCTTACCATAGCCTCTACCTTGTTTTTACTGGCAAGGTTCACAAAGATGTTGGGGCTGCTAATTAGATTAACAAATAGAAGCTGTCGAATGAAGCACAAGTGAAAGCAATTTTATTTCAACACAGTTACTTGCGACTTTGAAATTTTGTGAGAACTGCAAGTATTTTTGGCTTCTTTGAATGGAAGCAGTAGATTTCAAAATGCTTTAACACTAGACTTTGTTCATTAAGCATGTAGCATATTACCACAGTATGTTCTGATAGATTCTTATGGACTCATATATTCTGACATGAAAAGCAAATACTGAGATTTTCATTATACCCATGACGACCTACTGTTAAGAACCATCATTTGCCTTAAATGTGAGTAACAAAGAGCTATGTATGAAGGACATAAGGATAGGTAAATAAGGACACCTAGTAGAATGGAACCTTGGCAGCTTGGGTTTCACTCTACTTACTTATTTCGCTGTCACAAGTAGACTGTAGACTCCATTAGAACCTGATGTAGCACAAATAGACCATGTACATGCATAACAAAACCACAGAATATGGTTTGAAAAAAATTCTGTTCCTTGTGCCTGATTCTTTCTGTCTTTTGTACAGCAAGTCTTTGCTTGTCTCTCCTCTCTGACCATTTAAAAAGCTTTACACTGATGCTGAACTATTTTGCCAAACCCATTTCGTATTTCTGACAATATAAAAGTCTCTACTGTTTGGATAATTTACTTATGTCTTCCAGTGTAATACGTGTAATGGATTTATCCATCAATTGTTTTCCCCAAAGCTTTACTATCAACTGCTTCTTCTCTTACACAGAAGCAGCTGAATGTGTATAAACACATGTTTCTAGATGTTTGACACAGTTAATAGCTCTCTTCACTCTCTGTGATCTAAAGCCAATATAACATGTAGTATTAACAGGAATTAATGGCATTCACGCTTAAGAGGTCATTCATGAGAAAAATTCTGTAAGCATGCTAAAATTTAAAAATACTTAATTTAAAGTTATTAAAATGGGAGGTGGAGGTGGGGAGGAGGCAGAAATATTTAATAAATAAATGAATAAACAAACAAAAACAAACAAACAAAAACCAAACATACAAAAAAAAAAGAAATTGCCAGGACTCCACTAGGATAACCCCATCTAAGACCCTAAGCAATAGTGGAGAGGGTGACCGAACTGACGCTGCCCTGTAGTCTAATTGAAGACTATCTCTAATGTCACCATAGAACCTTTGTCCAGCATCTGATGGAAGCAGAGGCACAGATCCACAGCAGAGTACTGGGCTGATCTCCTAAAGTCCAGTTGAAGAGTGAGAAGAGTGAGAATAGGAGCAAAGAGGTCAAGACCATGATGGGCATACCTGCTGAAACAGCTTGCCTGAGCTGAAAGGAGCTCACCAACTCTGGCCAGATAGGAAAGGAACCAGCAAAGAACCGAGTTAGGCCTTCTGAATGTGTGTGATTTTGTATCCCTGGGGCTGAATGGGGTTCCAGGGCACTTGGCCAGGATTTATCCTTACTGCTTTTAATGACTTTTTGGAACCCATTCTCTTAGGAGGGATACTTTGCTCATCCTAGATGGAGTATGAATGACTCAGTCCTTTCTCAAATCAATATGGCTTACCCTCTGGGCGGAGTTGATGTCGTTGATTGGGGAGGTTACGTGGAAAAAATAGGAAGAGGGGAGGGAGGGGCAACTGGGATTGGTACATAAAATGAAAAAAGATAATTTTATAATAAATATTTTAAAAAAGTATGAAGTTAGTGTATAAGAGCCAAAGATGATGGAGAATACCAATACCCCCGCACCCTTTCCCACCACATTGCCCTCTACCTCAATTGGATTGAAGGATCTATGAACTAGCAGAAAGAGAGGCAGTATACACAGGGCATGTAGTTATGCACCACGTTTAGTACTTGAAATGAAATAAGAAGTGTACTCATGACTGGGCGATGGTGGCGCACGCCTTTAATCCCAGCACTCGGGAGGCAGAAGCAGGCAGATCTCTGTGAGTTCGAGACCAGCCTGGTCTACAGAGCTAGTTCCAGGACAGGCTCCAAAGCCAGAGAAACCCTGTCTCTAAAAACCAAAAAAAAAAAAGTGTACTAATGCACAGAAACCTAACCTGGAAGCTCTCTCTGATTCATAAACATTTGCAAATGAAAATTTTGGTTTTTCATGGAATTTTCATTACTCTCAAAAGTATGCAGCAAGCCAACCCTTAAAAAATTCAACAGTGAGCTTGGCGGTGTTGTTGCACACCTTTAATCACAGCACTCAAAAGGTATAGGCAGTTGGACCTCTGTAAGTTCGAGGCCAGCCTGGTCTACAAGAGCTAGTTCCAGGACAGGCTCCAAAGCTAAGGAGAAAAACTGTCTTAAAAAAAAACCACACTTTTCTAATTTAACAGCATCTTTTAGGTTCCTTGTCTCATAATGTCATGTCAGAACTTTACATCCTTTCTTTCCTTTACATCTTATCTTATTTATACATATTCCAGTTGAGTGTTTTGGGGGATTCTGTTTCATTATTCCCTGGGAGGCAGATAAAGAAAGGGCAGAAATGGGGAACTGATAAATAATACAATGGCCATCTTTGAGCTTTCTTTTATTTTCGGTACTGAGACAAAGGCTTAGGAGTCTTTTTCTTTGACCAGCATGCTGTCTCCTCCAGCTGTGTGGTTTACAACAGATAGGTTTATTGTTAGTTCTGAACATGGTCACCTGAAGCTGCAGGTAATCACAGTTCTTGTGAGTGAGCAGTGGTTAGGTCATGTCCAAAGACAGCATGTCACAGCAGTACTCCGCACCCTCAGCCAGGATATACAGGACCCACTTCCATGACGTCCCCTGTGTCTAGGGGGAATGGTTGCTCTACAGATCACGTTTACGAATGAGCATTCAGGGGCACTCCAACATTTTGAAATTATGAGGCTGTGCATTTGCTGCTGTGAATTCCATAAAGAAGAACCTCTGACCAAGCCTGACAGGTGAAGACATATATCCATAGAAACAGAACTATTTACAAAGAAGTTACTCTTGTCACACAAAATAACAACAGTAGCTTCATCTTAAAGGAATATATGGTTCATCCAGCCATAGTCTTGAGGACCAGGTACTCATTCCTACCTAGAGTGCAGGCCTCACCAGATCAGCAGGAAGTGAAATACACAATAACTCTCAAGTCACCATTGCACGAGTGATTTTCTCATATTCTGATTGCCCCATTTAAATGATATTTTCTTATGCTAAAATACAAAGTTTTAATTTCATAAGATCCTATTTGTTGATTTTTGGTCTCATGGACTATTGGACAAGAATCCTATTCAGAATCCCCTTAGCTGTGCTTAAAAGTTGGAGGATTTCCTCAACTGTGTCCTTTGAAATTTGTAGGGTATCAGGTCTCATTTTTTTTTAAATATTTTTTTTTATTGAGAAAAGGAGAAAATAAAAAAGTTTCCACCTCCTCCCAGCCTCCCATTTCCCTCCCCCTCCTCCCACCCTACGCCCCCTCCTCCCACCCTTCTCCCCCTCCCCCCACTCCTTTCCCCCTCCCTCTCCAGTCCAAAGAGCAGTCAGGGTTTTCTGCCCTGTGGTAAGACCTAGGACTTCCCACTTCCGTCAGTATCTAGGAAGGTGAACATCCAAACTGGCTGGGCTCCCACAAAGCCATCACATTACGTAGGATCAAACCCCCGTGCCATTGTCCTTTGCGTCTCATCAGCCCTCATTGTTCGCCATGTTCAGAGAGTCCAGTTTTATCCCTTGCTTTTTCAGTCACAGTCCAGCTGGTCTTGGTGAGCTCTCAATAGATCAGCTCCACTGTCTCAGTGGGTGGGTGCATCCCTCGTGGTCCCGACTTCTTTGCTCATGTTCTCCCTCCTTCTGCTCCTCATTGGGACTTTGGGAGCTCAGTCCAGTGCTCCAGTGTGGGTCTCTGTCTCTATCTCCATCCATCACCAGATGAAGGTTCTATGATGATATGCAAGATATTCGTCAGTATTGCTCAAGGATAGGGTCATTTCAGGTTCCCTATTCTCAACTGCCCAAGGAACTAACTGGGGACCTCAGCTTGGGCACCTGGGAACCCATCTAGGGTCAGGTCTCTTGCCAACCCTAAAGTGGTTCCCTTAACTAAGAATTGTGGTTCCGTGCTCCCCTGTCCAACCTTCCTTTATCCCAATCCTCCTGCTTTCCCAAGGCCCGACCTCCTTCCCTTCTAACTTTTCTCTCCCCATCTCCCCTTACTCCTAACCCTCCCCACCCCAAGATCCCAATTTTCTCCCCGGCAATTTTGTCTACTTCCCTTAGCCAAGAGGATAACTATATGTTTTTCCTTGGGTTCCCCTTCTTACTTAGCTTCTTTAGATTCACCTATTGTAGACTCCGTGACCCTTATTTATAAATGGCTAGAAATCAGGTCTCATTTTGACATCCATGAAATATTTGGTGCAGTTTGTGTATGGCAGATGATAAAGAGCAGAGTTTTATTGTCTGCATGCTGAAAACAATATCCATAATCAGCATATCTGAGACAGTATCTCAAATGCCAACATACATATGAAATACAAATATGTGTGCAATGTTACCCAAATAAGTGTCAAACACGTATATTCTGCTTACCAAGTGGACCATGTTGAGGTACCCAGGCATGAAGTAATACAAGGTCAAGCTCTGACCACTCAAGCTAAGTCATGGCAACCACTTGCATTAGAAGACATTTTCAACAAGACTTATAACCTGGCTCAAGTACTCTAGATTTTGTGGTCATTCTCTTGGGTCCCACACTCATTTCTTACAAATGAAATAATATTTGGAGTGTTCCATAATTCCATCTTTGAGTGCCTTTTTAGTGATTACATTTTTTCCAACTCTAAATTTTTCTAAATGTTGCAAAGGAAGTGGGAAAAAATATGCTATGGTCATTGAAAACTAAGACATCCCAGGTACTGTGGATGCTATAATGATAGATATGACTGAAAATTTACCATACACATACCAGCTGAATCACTAGTAAATATGCGTACTTATCATAGTGAGATCACTATGCTGAATCACATATATGTGTGCATGAGTTTGTGTGAAATTGTTATCATTGCACTTCATGTAATAGATGATTCAGGGAATGAGATTAGATAACCACCAATATATCTAAATATATGGATAAAGAAAACATAGTATGCATAAATAATGCAAGAAAATCAATCAATGAATAAAATTGTAGAAAAAAATTACATAAGTCTCAAGTAAATTGTTGCAACTATGTATCATTAAGTCAAAGAAATAGACAACTCTCCAAAATACAAATAGCACACGTCTTCTCTCATAAATGGAATCTAGAAAAAATATAAAAGGAGGATGAAAAAATTTGCAGAACTGTGAGGGCAAATGTTTTAGATGGAGGAAGTATAACAAGGACACAAAGGGGTATATACAAACACATTACTTATTTTATATAATTAAAATGTACAGAATAATAAGATTAATTTTGTACTTACGATATGCTACCTCCAGCCCTACTATATACCACAATCTCTGTTCTCTTTCAAGTTTATATCTTTTATTCATGCATTGCTATTTTTATACAAAAATTTGTATATACATATGTTCCTAAATACAAGGAGATGAATACATACGATGTTACAATTCTATATGGTTTCAGGCATGTCCATTGGTTACTGGACAATCAGTTTATGTGTTTCTCTCTGGAGAAGGCCACTCCTCCTACTCCCTGCTTTCCTAAATTACTAGAGTTATTTGTTTGATGTATTTGCCTTGTAATTTTTTCCTTGTCCAGTTTTCCATGCCCATTGATCTTCCGTCTACCTCACACTGATTTGAACCACAATTATACAAAGTTTAAAGTAATCTATGTAGTGAGTCATTCTCTGTCCTACCAGCTCATCCATGGAAGTGTTCACACTTATGATACTCTGCTATTAGAGAATAGACTATCAGAAAAAAATGCAATAAAAATGGGACAAAATGTAACGGTTTTGTTGCAAAGTCAGAAATTAAAAGACTTGAATTTTAAAGCAAGCTAATATTTATTTAAGAATCACAAAAAATCAAAGAAAAATAATGTTTATATAGAGTATAACCTCATTCCATAACCAACCATATTCCAAGAAATTAAATGTGCATCAAAATCTGAACTAGTGTGAGATTGACTGTTTTTATCACACATTATCTTAACATACAGTCAAGAAATGTTCTTGCTCAATTTACTCCTACTAGAAATGTTTACCTATTTATTGTAATTATTCTTGAATAGTATGTTTACAATGATACATAAATTCCATTTACAACAAAAGTTTGATGACAATAAAGTTCAAATCTGGATACAATGTTTCTAAATTTCGAAGAACTGCATAGCTGTCTACATATTGACTAAGACTTGAAAATTAATTGAAGGATGCGAGTCTGTAAAATAACTTGGCTAATGCATGAAGATCTGTACAATGAATTAATGTGAGGTATACTAAGAAATTTCATGAAATGTACCCCTTAAATGCATTTTGTGATGCTTTCTAAGACTTGAATTTGTGTGAAAGGACTTGTCACATTCTTTACATTTGTAAGGCTTGTCACCAGTATGGAGTCTGTAGTGAATGTGAAGAGTTGCTTTATGGGTAAAGGACTTTCCACATTCTTGACATCTGTACGGTTTCTCACCAGTATGGAGTCTGTGATGAGTGTGAAGAGTTGAGACCTGGGTAAAGGACTTGCCACATTCTTCACATCTGTAAGGTTTCTCACCAGTATGAATTCTTTGATGGTTATGAAGATTTGAGGCCCTGGCAAAGGACTTGCCACATTCTTGACATCTGTAAGGTTTCTCACCAGTATGAATTCTTTGATGAGATAGAAGTGTTGAGACCCACGTAAAGGACTTTCCACATTCTTGACACCTGTAAAGTTTCTCACCAGTATGAATTCTTTGATGAGATAGAAGAGTTGAGGCACAGGTAAAGGACTTGCCACATTCTTGACATCTGTAAGGTTTCTCACCAGTATGGATTCTGTGATGAATATGAAGATTTGAGGGCTGGGTAAAGGACTTGCCACATTCTTGACATCTATAAGGTTTCTCACCAGTATGGATTCTGTGATGTCTGTGAAGAGCTGAGGCACAGGTAAAGGACTTTCCACATTCCTGACACCTGTAAGGTTTCTCACCAGTATGGATTCTGTGATGAATATGAAGATTTGAGATCTGGGTAAAGGACTTGTCACATTCTTGACATCTATAAGGTTTCTCACCAGTATGGATTCTGTGATGAGTGTGAAGGGCTGAGGCCCAGGTAAAGGACTTGCCACATTCTTGACATCTATAAGGTTTCTCACCAGTATGGATTCTCTGGTGAGATTGAAATTTTGTGTGACAGACAAATGAATTGCCACAAACTTTACATTTGCCTGCCTTCTCTTTGGAATTAATTCTCTTATGCATAGTGGGGCATGCATATCTATTGAAGCAGTTTCCACATTCTATATAATTGTTTTGTGTCTCTTCATTTTGATTGTTTATATAATGCATCCCTTGTTTCTGGTCATGCTGAAACAAAAAGAAGTTGTGTTACAATCAAAATCATCCTTACAATTATCATGTATATATTGGCTCTTAGGAAAAACAGACTTCTATGATCTTATGTAATGAGAATAGATATACTGTGATTTGATTTTGGGAATTTGTCCCTTCAAGAAGAGGATTCTGGAAACTCTTCTTCTAAGAGTTCCTAAAAAAGGCTTTAATAACATCATTGAATGTGTAACGTTTCTCATGACAGAAAATTCTATGATATATTTTCATTTTCATTTGATTGAGAAAAACTTCTCACATTTATCTCACAAATAGCTTGTAACAAAATGTAATTTTTGTTGAGAAAACTCTAATGAATGTTTAATAGAATACATGTTATTCAGTTTTTATGTTTTTAAATATTCTTTGTAGAAAAAATGCTTTAAAATTTATTTGTATTTTTTTACTGAGGAAACTGCTTCTGAAATTGTAAGTGATCTAATTTGAAATATTTTCATATAAGGTAGAAATTATTGACCTTTATTTCTAGTACAACCCAGGATGTCTGATGAATAGAGATTCTTTCAATCATGACATAATCCATTCTCTATTCTTTTTTCACCAAATATTGAAATCACCCCTAAATGAAAGGTTTTTAAGTCACTACTTACAGCTATTCCTGATACCAACTTCTGGATACAATCTTGTCTATTCTCTTGTGAAAATAAGTCTTGTGTTTGATGAGAATATAAAACTGGAAGAAAGACAAATATATAATTATCTGAATTAGTATAGTTAGGTGAAACATTTTCAAAATATTAGTGACACAATTTTATATATATGTAGACATATATGCAAGATGGCATATTATATAAAATAAACTTCAAATCATTTATTCTAATGAAACAATCTTCTTAATGTAAATGGATAGAATATCTTTTATAACATATATTAAATACATTATAAAAATGAAAGGATTGAGTTTATGTCATCTTAGAGGTTCCAATCACAATTTTAGAATAATAAATGATATTATGGTGGTTTGAGTGAAATGACCCCATTTAATCAGATATCTGAATACATAGTCTAATGTTGGTGGATATTTTTGGGTAGGCTAAAGAGGTATCAACTTACTGGATCACCTATGCCCTTGGACACTGGTTTTGAGAATTTTAAAGCCTTCTAATAACAACAGTGAGCTATCTACTTCCTGTTGTGATTCTAGATGGGACTGCTGCTCTAGCCCCTTGCCAACTGCTTCCTCTGATTCATCGTCATGGATCTTTCTTCTATATATTGCCTTTATCTTGGAATTTTATCACAGCAATAGATAATAAGTAACTAATACAAAGACTATAACCCAATCGTAAAAAATTACACTCATAAAATTCCATTATCTTAATGGATTTAACACATCTGTATAATCTCTTGAAATGAAAAAAATGAGTAATAATAAGAAATTAGACAGAATATTAATTAATAAGGAAAGAAGAAATGATGAACTGGAAAGAGTTACTACTAGCTGGTCTACAGAGAATCATGTATACCCCAAGGAAGAGATCCATAAAATATCAGACATCAAGGAAATTCACTAGGACTGATCTTTTTCATCTGAGATATATTTTCTCTTTTTCTTATATAGAAAATAGATGCTTTCATAAAATATATTCTATAACTTTTCATCCCTCAAATGCCCTGAGATCATCCCCATCTTTATTTATGTCTGAATTTACCCCATTTCAGTCACTTCTTTGAAAATAAACAGACATCTAAAAACTAACAATAAAATAATATAATAAGAATCAAAGAAGTCAGATAGGATCAGAGAAGAATCGGAAATAAAGAAAAAACACAGTATTTATAGAGAGAAAGAAAAACATTTATACCCAGAAAATTGCATAAAACAAAGCTAAGGAAAACTCTAAAAGGTGTAATGTACATAAAGATTCTGTATGGTGAAAAATAAATAAATTCCCAAACTATACATTATGGGCGGAAAAGAATGTACAAAAATTCCACTGAGTTGTGTTGGTGATATCCTTCAATTGCTGGTTATGGGGAATTCCTGTAAGTGTTACTTTTATCCCCACTGAGAATCACTTGGAGAAAATTTATTTGTTCTTTGGGGACTCATGGTCTGTTGGAAACAGCTGAGGTAAGATTAGGATTAAATGCTCTTATTTTTCAAGTACATTTTTCTAGATTCTTTTACGAAATGAATGTAATAGATGAGGACATAAGTTAATATCTACAATTTTTTTGATCGATATATGTTTTTAGCCATACCATTATTATACGAAACCTAATTATTATAAAAAATATCATATAATTTAAAATTCTGAATGGTATATTGTTTATAGTTTTATTTTTCATGGTTGTTTAAGCTATTGTGACGTTTCTGTTTGTTTGTATATATATGAGGCAGAAAACTGTGTTTTTGGGATCTGAGAAGAGTTGTGTTAGAATTTTGATAGGGTTTTTCACTGAATCAGTATATTACTATATCAATTGACCCATCCTTGAGCATGTGTATTTTTCTATCTTCCAATATCTTTTTCAATTCATTTCTTCAATGTCTTAAAGTTTTTATAAAGGTCTTTAACTGTTTCAATTCAAATTACCCAAAACTATTTTTTGAGGTTATTGTGAAAGGCCTCATTTCCCTGAATTCTATTTAAGTCTATTCTCATTTGTATATTGGAAGGCTACTGCTTTTTGTTAGTCAATTTTGCATTCCTATCCTTGGTGAAAGTGTTTCTCAGTTGGACAAGTTTCTTCATAAAGTTCTTAGAGTCTTTTATACATAAAATCATAGCATCTGCATATAACATTCTTCTGATTTGTTCCTTTGCTATGAATCACTTCTAGATCTTCTTTATTTGTGTTCTTGTTCAAGCTAAGATTTCAAGTACTGTATTGAATACATATAGAGAGATTGCGTACACTTGCATTGTTCCCTTTTTTAATGGAGAGGCTTTGAATTCTCACTATTTAGTTTGATGTGGGCTATACACTTTCTGCAAATTGCATCTTTTAAGTAGAGGTATATTTCTTGTACCCCTAATATCTCCAAGACTTCTGTCAAGAAGGGGTGTTAATAATGTCAAAGGCTTTTCTGCATCTAATAAGATGAACTTCTGGAATTAGACTTTACGTTTGTACTAGTGGTAGATTATATTTATTGATTTTGAATTTTTCATTTATTTCTACATGTCTTGACATAAATTCTATGGTAAATTATCTTTTTGATATGTGCTTGGATATAAGATGCAAATATTTTATTGAGGACTTTTGTTTATATGTTCATAATGAAATTGGCATGTATTTCACTTACATTTTGGGCGTATATGTGGTTTAGTTATCAAGGTAACTGTCCTCATGAAAAGAATTTCACAGTGTTCTGCAGTTTTTATTTTGTAGAATAATTTGAGGAGTATTCATGCTAATTCAAGAAGCATTATTAAAAGATAGAAGGTACCACCTACTAACATTATTTTACATGGTATCAAAATTACTTTTAATGTCCTGTTGATTTACCCACTGATTTGCATCTCTAAGCCTTCATTCCCAAACATCTAGCAGAATTTGACAACTAAAGATGACTCACAGTTGGACATGGTATAAACAACAAGGAAAAATTTAATTTTAATGAGTATGTTTATAGCAAACTTATTCCATTGACTGTTGAGAGCTCATTCAGCACAGAGTGATGATACATAACAAGGCACGCAGTCATGAATGACTATAAGAAAATTGTGCTTTCTGTACACAACATGACAGTTGCCCATATAAACTCAAGTAATTAGGATAGAATGGATCAGACATGAGCAATCCTAAGCCAGATTAAAATCCTTGGGAGACAGTAAGAAGGGGAGTGGAAATCCATGCCTTGCTGAGTAACTACTATTATCTTAAAGATACTTGGAGAAAGGAAATAATGTTGATTTTAAGAATGTTCAAGTCCTTATTGTTCAACCCTATTGTAGACCACGTAGTCTCAATACCCAGAATTTTATCGGAGTTTCAGATTGAACTCTGTGAATGTAAAAAAAGTAGCAGGAAAAAACAAACCAAAGATATCTGGAGGAAGTGGAACATGGGAAGAATGGAAAGTTGAATTTGGTCTAATGACACTGCAAGGTATTCTTAAATGAGTAATAAAAGTATTAAAAGTATAATATTGTGAATATACAAATTCGTTTCTCCAAACAATTTCCAATACAGATATAAAACACAAAGGAAAACAAGTGCATATACAACATTTATGTGAAAATTAACATATGAATTTTGATATTCAGAGGTTAGTAGATGACATTAAGTTAGATCAATAACATGTATGACCCTAAAGAAGTCTTAATTTCTAAAGAATATTTTGCAGAAATAGAAAAAGTTACATTTAAGTTTTATAGTATCTGATACAAAGAATGAAATCTACAATCTTCCAAGATGAATACAACTATAAGACTTATATTTTCTGATTTTATGTGAGACTACACAACAGTGAAAACTGTGTAATTCTTTCAAGAGAGCAGACAAACAGACATGAACAGGTACAGAGCAATACTTCTTCAAACATTGTGAAACTTTTTAATGCTAACTTTTATTTCAATATTGTTTATCTCAAGGCCTGGTGGATTTCAAGATAGGGCAACAAATCATTTTACTTCAGCTTTATACCTTAATTTAATTTACTTATTCAAAATGAATTTTAGGTCATTTTATGTGACTGAGACTTATAATGTAATTTGGGATAATCATTCAATGTGAATTTTAACATAATTTTTGGTAGAAATATTTGTGCATCTGTTACAGGGAGGAGGAGCCTTTTGTTCCAGCTGCCTGGATAGTTTACTCCCGAAAT